TGGCCTTTCACTTCACCATTGGTTTTCTTGGCCGGCAGTTTCAGTTGTTCGGCCGCATCTTTCACCTCAGAAGGATTCACCTGCTGGTAAGTCTGTGGCTTGCTCTCCAACAGGTCCTGCTTCTGCCGGGTGGTTGGGCCTGCCGCTGCATTCATCAGGGTTACATCAAATTCCAGCCTGGGTATCTTCTTCTTTCTCTTCTTTCTCTTCTTCTTATTCTTGTCCTCGTGCACACCTGGACCTGGAACCTTAGTGGTGGGAGAGTTGCTCACTACCTGCATATTTCTCAAGACACATCCATACCTTTCCGTAGATGGGTTCCCTCCAAGCAGTTCATTAGTGGTTCCTCCTCCTCCTCCTGGCAACGAGGATTCAGCGGTCTCCTTTGCAATCTGATTGTTGGAGTTTAATAAGAGCTTACGACGGGCTTGTGAAGACTGGAAGTCATCCTGAAAAGATGAAAGATCCGGCAAGTCAAAATACATATCAACCCTAAAAATCTTAATAAATTGATATTTACTCTGCCTTCACAAACAGTTAATCCTATCTTGAATAATTGTATTATTAACCCACTAACGACGGGTCTCCCACATATGAGACACCCAAAAAAATTAACATTGCCAGGCGTCCCGCCAGTGTCACGTTTTATCGGGGCTAGCGCTCCAACACAGCAACAGACCGCCCGGAATCTTTTATTTTCGGCTTCAAAATATACCAGCATTAATGGGTTAATGACAGTCAATCTACCTTTTATAAAGAAAGAAATAGAAAAAATAATGAAATTACAAAGAAAGTATAAGGAAGCAGAAAGGAGAAAGTACAAAGTAGACAGCAGAAAGTAGATCCAAGTAAAAGGAGGAGAGAAGTAGGAAAAAAATAGTAGTAGAGTAGAAAGAAAAGTAGAAAGTAGAAAAAACAAGTAAAGTGTTATATATAATAGAAAGAGTAGATAGTAGAATAAAAGTAGAAAGTTAAAAGTAGAAGATGGAAAATGAAAGACATTAGAAATAATAGAAAAAAAGGAAACATAGGATTAAGAGGAAGACGAGGAAGAAACAGAAATGTAAGAGCAATACAACAAATCCTATACCTGATTAACGCCTTCATTTTCTTTATTCGTTCGTGTTTCTGTTAGGTGAGACTTGCTTCCCATAGATCCCTGAGATGACAAGGGTGACAAGAACAAGGACATTTCTGTTTCTGATTCACGCTCACCGAGATTCCTATCCACAGATTCCTGATGATTCTCGTCTTCTTTAGTTACACTGACATCAGCTTTGCTTTCTGGTACCTTCTCTTTGACTTTGCCCTCACTCTGAGCTTCAATTATACTATCTGGCTTAAAGTCCACAGGATCAGTTTCAGTATCAAGTCCTGAGGTTAGTTTGCCTATTGTTTTACTGGCTCTGTACATTGACCAGCTCTCTGGTAAGTTTGTGTTTACTGTCTCCATGTCTAGAGGCTTTTCCTTCCGACTGGGCGATATTCCTGTGGTAATCAAAGACTGGGAAATTGCTGTCTTCAGCAGTGGAATCTTTATGGTCGGAGTTCCTGATTTTCTCCTCCCTCTCCTGGAGGGAGTGGAAGTACCACCCTTCTTTTTACCAGCAGATGAAGTCTGTGCTTCCAGGACCATGGCTTCTCTATAAGCAAAGACCTTTCTGATCAATTCTGCTACTGGTAACATTTTCTCCAAAGGCAATTTGTACCTGAAAAATCTTGTCACCTGAGATTTATCAAGTGCAATATCTTTCGAGTGTGCAGCCTCCTTGGCTATTCTAACAATGTCAGCCTCTGTTAAACGCAATTCTTGCATCCTTTCCTGAGCCCACAAGGCATAATTTTTGAGCTTTCTCAATTTTTTTGGCAGTTCCTCCCCAAGTTCTTCAAGCTCTCTAATATTGGTATGAGGAGGAACCTGGTATTCCCCCGACTCAACGTCAATCTCCTCATCAGAATCACTGGCATACGTAATTTTCGAAAAGCATTCCATGCCCTCCAAGTGCCGCATCTTTGGTGGGGTTTCCATTCCAGTTTCCACATCCTCTCTCTTTCTCTTGCCTGGAGTGAGGGTCTCTCTGTTCTCTAGGACATCCATGGCAACAGAACCAGAAGCAGCAGAGGAGGAACAGCCCTGAAGGTTATCAGATGCAAGATCCTCACAGTCAGAAATTTTGCTTTTCCTTTCATTCAGTCGTCGTTGCCTTTCCTCTTGTTGTGTTCTCTTAAAGCTCTCAGACAACATGTTTACACATGTTGGACAGTTCCATTCAGTGCAGACAAAGGGCAGAGCACCACACTGTATATGAACACCTGTTGAGCCGCAGAGATTACACAGCAGCACTTCCCATCTCCTGCAAATAATAGGAGTGATAAGGGATACAAAGTTTTACACAGGAAAAATATTATTTGGTTAAAAATATGTTTCAAGATATTTCTAATCATTTGACATAAATATTTCAAATCCTCCTTTAGATTCTAAGTGAATTATGATAAAGAAAATACAAAAATGTGAATTTTCACAGAAACTGGGGTTGGGTAAACACGAAAGATGGTAATGAAAAATATTATCGGCATAAAAACTTACGTTCCTTCCACATCCGTCTTCCTTCCATCTGGGCACTTGCACTTCGGGGCATCACAGTGGATTGGTCTCTCAAGAAGCTCGCTGAAGGCATTTGGTTCCAGCTCCCAACTTGCATCTCTGAAAACATTATTTTAAATAATTATCCTCGACTAAATAAGAAATAAATGTATCTATGTAATAGCAAAGAATTAGAAATATACCATATAGGAGGTCTTCAAATTAAATAAATAAAAAGTCAGTCATCAACACATGGTCTTACTTCTCTGGGACAAAAATGCCAAGATTTTGCATCTCCAGTTGGAACACATCCTTGTCATTACATAAGGGACACTTGAAGAAGTAGCCTGCACTCAAAGCCAACCTCTGGGGATGGAAAAAGTAAATGTTATCTAAAATGTTCTAAACCACATCTCTAAAGTTCAAATATTACCCATTGATTGGTGAGACATTGTGGAATAGGGAAAAAAAAACTTTTGTGCTGGAACATTATGTATCTTATACATAAACTATGAATATCATGTATGGCAGAAAAAAAAAACACTACAATAGAAACAAAAATGAGTTTACAGGAAGAGCTCTCATCTGTCAATAAAGTTCTTTTGTGAATACTCGCTTCCTCTTCCATCAATGCAATCAGTAAAAGAACAGTTTACTTAGAAAGACCTTTACATCCACTTACTTGCAGACACAGTTTATGAAACCATGTTTTTCTCTTGCAACATGGAGCCCAGATGGCCTGATTGGGATTGGCAATCAGCTCTTCCATGCATATCGGACATTCCAATTCCTCTCCAGACCCAAAGCCCTTCTGATATTCACGATGGTGGGAGCAGTATGATCTGTGGAACAAAATTCTTGTATAATGTAATCTCCAAAGAGAGTTTCTGATGCCAATATTCATAAATATCAAATCTTATATATACAATTACATTTATATAATTTCTCACCTGAAATCATTAGAAAATTTACAGAGAGCATTTTGTTTTATTCCACATGGGTAGTGGTATGTTCTTCGACATTTCTTATTGTAGCAGCCAATCGTTGCTCCTTTTCGAAGACAATAACAACAAGACTGAAAAGGCAAATGTCATTATCACACACAAAAAGCTAAAATAAATTTATTTTTACTTACCAAAAAATGAATATTCGGAAAATCCATATTCAATTAATATAAATATTTATTATGACCTCTTCATACAAGATGGATATTCATTCTATCAAAAAATTCTGGGTTGAATAAACAACTACTTCTTACTCTTTAATGCAATCAGTTCTTTACCTTGTTCTTAGCTACTGTTGCTACTTAACAGTGTCAAAACATTGGATACTAATCTAAAATCACAGTTGTATTGGTTTCTCACACAAAATTCTTGAAAAAACTATGTGATAAATCATAAAATATCATGCAAAAATAATATAGGATGGATATCACTCCTCTGATTCAGTATCAGTCAGTATTTCAGTAAGTAAAAACAACTATCACAAAGTCACAGACTCATTACTGGCAATCAGAATCATAAATCTAGGGAACTGAACACCACCCAAAAATTATGAGTCTTTTGATTTTATTGTCATCCAAACACATAACTGATAATGTTATCTCTTTTCAACCTATTAGAATTAGCATAAAACATCTGAGACATTTACACATGAATAAAGTAGCAATTTGTCCAATCGGTCACCTCTGGTGTAAAGGATTAATCTTGTTCAAATAGCCAACTTTTTGTTAATTATACAATTGATTATAATAGAGAAATTTTCATTATTATAAAAACATTCATTTTAAAAGTATTTCCCCCTGAAAATCTGATTAACATTTGTGAAAAGGTGAAGCTTTAGAGAAGATAACTAGACATGTCATCTGTCTTTCCAAACGATATACAGTAATTGGGTTCTGATATCTCAAAAAATCAAATACAGTAAATACTGATTTAAAACTAAGCAACTGACCAATTTCCGTCCCCTCTGGACTTCTTTCACTATGTCCTCCGCTAAGAAACCTAGGACTCCTTCATCATCTTCGCCATTTTGTGCCAATCCACTGGAGAACAGCTGAAAACACAAAATGTATATCTATCAGTACAAATGCATAAATCAAAACAATTTCTAAATATGTGGGCAAAGCAGAGGGAGAGGGAGAGGATAAGGGAGAATAAAGAATGGAGAAGTGAGAAAGAAGAGAAAAAGGAAGAGGAGGGCAGGAGAGATGGGGGGAGGGAGAGAAGGAGAGAAGGAGAGAAGGAGAGAGGAGAGAGGAGGGAGGGAGGAGAGGAGGAGGGAGGAGAGGGAGGGGGAGGGAGGGAGGGAAGGAAGAAGGAGGGAAGGAAGGAGGAAGGAAGGAAGGAAGGAAGAAGGAAGGAAGGAAGGAAGGAAGGAAGGAAGGAGGAGGAAGGAAGGAAGAAGGAAGGAAGGGAAGGAAGGAAAAGGAAGGAGGAGGGAGGGAAGGATGGAAGGGAGCAGGCAGAGAGGAGAAGGAGGAGAGGGAGGAGAGGGAGGAGAGGAGGAGGGAGGAGGGAGGGAGGGGAGGGAGGGGGAGGAAGGAGGAGAAGGGAAGGAAGGAAGGAAGGAAGGGAAGGAAGGAAGGAGGAGGAAGGAAGGAAGGGAGGGAGGGAGGGAGGGAGGGAGGGAGGGAGGGAGGAGAGAGAGAGGGAGAGAGGGAGGGAGAGAGAGAGGGAGAGAGAGAGGGAGAGAGAGAGAGGGAGAGAGAGAGGAGAGAGAGAGAGAGGAGAGAGAGAGAGAGAAGAGAGAGAGAGAGAGAGAGAGAGAGAGAGGAGAGAGAGAGAGAGAGAGAGAGAGAGAGAGAGAGAGAGAGAGAGAGAGAGAGAGAGAGAGAGAGAGAGAGAGAGAGAGAGAGAGAGAGAGAGAGAGAGAGAGAAAATAATGTATCACAAGTTACTGCCCTCGTCCCAAGGGCTTACAATAAATAACAAACAAGGGATAAAACAAAAATATAAATCCACAAAAGGTAAACACAATCACGAGAAGTATCAAAAAATATATACATTACTTCTCTTCACCTCAGCAAAGCTACTCACCAGGCAATAATAATGCACCGACACATCATCAATCGTATAGATCTTCCCAAACTCCACCTCGTTCTCATCCCCACGGCCACAAAAGCAACAATTCAACGGCTGGCTCATCTCGAAGCTGCAAAACATGGCGAACTACTTAAAAAAAAAAAGTTCTTGAAATGATAACTCTAAGACCACCTAATCTAGAATTACTTACATGTCTGAATTCAATAATACAATAACACTGCAATGCAAAAACATTCATGCGCTATGTAGAAAACATTAGGCTATAGCAAATAGATAAATAAATAAACAAACAGATAAATAAAGAAGGATATAGGTAAATAAATAAACATACAGATAAATAAAGAAGGAAATAGATAAACAATTAAAATACATACATAATAACTCTATAATCATTAATAAAAGAAAATGCATGGAAAAAAAATTACAAGAGATATAAAATGCTAAATCTAAAGAACATTTACCTAGTACTTATAAGCATTCAAAACTAAATATATAAATAGTACTGTAGAAAGTTACCATGCACTTTTAAGAGTCCAACAAGAGAAGCATCTCTTGTAAAATACTCAATCCATGATGCAGTCCTTAAAAAGATCCTAATAACCATCACCAGCATTACCCCGCACCTGAAAGTTGTGTAAATTCTGTTCACATGCCCTTATAATAGCCGCTTACCCAGGTGGAGACTTTATTCCTACAGTCATTTTATTTACAGTCCTCTGCTCTTTAGGGGTATTTGTGCCCTCTTTGGTTGCAGGGGGAGAGTGGCGATTTTTTTTTAGGTTGTACCACAGTGACGACCTGGGTACACCATGCAACTGGGCCGCCTGAGGAATAGCCAAGAGCCCCTCTTGGACCTTGAGCATTGCCTCTGCCATGTCTTGAGGTAGATAGCTTTTCCTTCTTCCATCTGCAAAATCGTGAGGCATTCACATGGTTTTCCACTGCATCTCTGCAGTCTTCTCCGGAAATATGTGGAGGCGGAAGAGAGAAGAGGCCAAGTGGTGATAGAGAGAACGATGATGGAAGGACACAGAAGAGTGAATTGTGGTAGGAGGGAAGAGGAGAGAAGTGGCTATAATGGTAATCCATTGGTGCCAGGTACTTGCACTGTCCACTTTTGTTTTACATTGTTTACATAGAGATGGCTTCACAAACACATCGTCAGTACAGAGCACTAGGCTTGCCTAACTTTCATTTTTGTTTTGGGGGGGGGAAAAAAGGTTTTTACTTATAATACACAATTCTATTATTATTGTTGTTGGTGTTGCTCTTCTTCTTATCACCATCATCATCATTTCTATCATCATAAACTTATTAACAAAATAAAGGGTAATAAAAAAAAATAAAGAAAGAAATAGGGTGCACAGGTGAGACCAGATACGCTTAGTCATTGACTACTTGGTGAATAAGCTCTTGTGGAGCTGTGTAAACAAAATTAATACAGTAGCCAAGGGACATATGCATGTCCTCCTGACATCAACAGCTTAAGAAGGACGAAGAAAGAAAGAAAGAAAAAAAAGAGGGAACACGGACGAAAACCAGAGAAAGGAAGAAACATTGAGAAAGAAATGGAAAGGTCGAGAAGGGGAATAGAAAAGAATAGAATAGAGCAGTCAAGATAGAGGTAGAGACAGACTATGATACAACTACACAGAAAAATACGTTAGAAAATCATGTTAAATACTCGGACACAAACAAAAATGCTTTTTAAAATTTATTTCTTACTGCTACAAAACTGTCAATAACCCTGATTTTTCTATCTTTTTGGGGGTATGTGTGACTTATTTGAATATTGCAGGGCATATTCCATCCCTTGCGGGAATAAAATCATCTCACAGGGAGTCCATATGAATTCCAGAAGAACTATTCCAGACATGAATCAGAACAAGAGAAATTTGAAACCCAAAATACCAACCCTCCTGTAATATTAGGTTCTGTTAGTTATTCAATGTTTCAACACCCCTCTTAGCAATAGCTTTCTGTGTAGCTGTACAAGGTACTTCACAGACAGGCAACACCACTCTTGTCTTGATGAAAATGCTAAACACCAAGCCCCACCCCTTTACCCTTTCCTTTGCCATTTATTACATATATCTATAGGGTTCATGTATTTTTCTGTCTTGCTACATTATCCATTTTACCATTTTCATCACTGAATTTTTTTTCAAAGTATCCCCCCAAAAAACACTGATTATAATATAGCATAATACATAGCCAGTGAGGGTGCGCTGAGAGATACCAAGAAGTCAATTTCAACTTTGGTTCTTTAGGCTATATGAAAGTGGTGCTACCTATCTATTTATATACCTTGGTACGGTATAATGAAAAAGGAGATACTCAGAGGAGAAAAAGGGAAAGGGAGAGGGAAAGGGATAGAGAAATGGTAAGAGAAGGGGTAAAGAGAGGGATAAAGAAAGTGAATATTAGTGGGAGAAAGGAAAAAAAAAAAATATAATGTGCATTCAGTTTAAATCATGCATATATGTACGGTGCTTTAGAAAAATATATATATAAAACATAAAAGACAAGACTATATTTAAATAAAAATATCACAAAATATTCAAAATGATATTCAAAATTACTAATTTTGAAAACAAGTAACGACAATGTGAAAAAATAGACATTACAAAACACACAAACAAACAAAAACTTAGATCACTGTCAGTGGTGACCCAATGCCAAGCAATACGGTCTTTCAAATTTTATGAACACCAGACATTAAGCACAAAATAGCAAAGCATAAGATTGGACGTATACACAACTACCAATGAAAAGAGTATAATTATATGAAGCAAGATCTGCACTGCTAGGATATATAAAATCATTGAAATACTTGTTGTAAAAATTGGGAAAAAACAGAACTTGGCAACTAGCTAGGAAAGGCTTCTTTTTAAAATTATTTAACTGCATGCTATCTAATTAGCCTTACTTTCTTCTAATCTATGCTGATTGTTCCTTACATTAAGTTTCAGTAAATGCATAAAACAAACAATTCCTCTTTTCTCCTTAGAGAATGAAGTAAACTTAACAATGCTTATACAGATTACTACAGGAATTACAAAAAAGTAAAATGAACAATGATTATGCAGATCAATACAGGACTTGTGCAAAAAATCAGATATAAATCAAAGCAAAGCAGTTACCCCAATAAGTTGTTAAAGGCTAACCTCTAAACGGTAATAGTACTTCCAATAACATCTACTGTATTTAAAAGGCAGTCAATACTTCCACAGGTTTTCTTATTTTGTAGGCTTATCACAAAAAATAAACAGGGAGTCCAACAACAGTGCATGCCCCTTACATGACTGTTTTCACATTATCATTATGCTAATTTTTAATATTCTGATAAAATAATCAAACTTATATGCCAATATTGTCATACAATTTCAGTTTTCAAGCACTGAGCACATACTTTATGACATATCAATGGCATTATTCATTATGATCATTCAATTACCATTATCCTCACTTTACTCATTATATTATCATTGCTACTATCATCATTGTTACTATTATTGTCAAACTAATAAAATGTTAAATGTGATATGTTTTACATATTTTACTGGACTACATAGCTGTAAAACTGTAAAGTCGTCTGCCCTAATGAGGGTAATCAACGATCTAGTCCGAATTGACTTCATTTTCCCATACAATAGTTCTGTGCACTCATATTCTAAACTTTACACTTTAAGATAAACAATCTTAAAGACATGCAATAGAGGAATTACACTTCAAACACTATTACTTCAATTCCTCCTTAGATAAAATAAACAATGTATGGAAATGTATAGATTTATTGAACTTTTTCATGGTGCTGTAACACAAAATGAGTTGGTATTCATCATTTGCAATTATGACTTCAAATTTATAAGCTTTATAATTAAACAATTCATTACCATCTCATTATACATAAGCCAAAATGTATTCCAAACTGATCATATAAAATTTCAAGCCTGAACTTATGATTATTGCATTATTTCAGTTTCACGCAGTTTAAAGTTGTGCCACACTGGAAATGGAAACCTATTGGTCAAGGGAGCCACAGTTATACATACCAATGGATTAAGATTCTAACATGAGCCGCGGATGAAAACAATAACTGATCTCCAGAGTAACCAATTACAGACATATTTATATTCTATTCCTAATAAAATGACATCTCAGATTCAAGATACATATTTTTCATCAAATAGGTCCAAGATTTTTGCAAGGTATTGCCCCTGGCTGTAACTAGCCAAAAATATTTTTAAAAAAAAAGGTCCAAGCATTTTAGAATTGTGTTCTTCCTGACAAAAAAACAACCATCAGAACAAAAAGTTAAAGTATCTCAGAAATGTACTGAAGAAAAAAATGGCCATTTTAATATTCAACGAAAAATTCTAAAATGTTTCCCACTTTTGCTGGAGGCCTTAAAAACTCAAGAGACCTTCAAAATCTCTTCATAAAAATGCTCACATTAAAAAATTACTTATTGTTACAATTACATTTCCAGATAATCAATTTATATCAATAAATATACAAATAGTAGCAATGTATGGTAAAATGTTTAGGGTATAACCCAAAAAAAAAAAAACTTTTTTACATCAAAACCTAAATTCCAAATTTGAAAAACTTTGCACCAGTTTCATATATATATATATATATTCATTTTCTACTTCCATCAGAATTTTGGTGGAAATGTAGAATTCTATGCCAAGTTTCTATTCAAATTATAAAATAATATTCTGATAAAATAATCAAACTTATATGCCAATATTGTCATACAATTTCAGTTTTCAGGCACTGAGCACATAATTTATGACAGATAGTCCTCACCTCACTGTTTTCAAGTAATTTGTATAATTGAAACCTGATCCTCAACCTGAACATTTTAGCTGGTAATTTGAATCACTGTTCTAATACAATTTTTACACTACAGACATTCTAGGTCTACAATTTTTAGCTGGACTATAGTGCTCAAATCTGGATATGTAGGAAGCCACACCCCTTTCATTACCACTAAAGACATCATCACCTGAGGTCTAACTTACAAGCCCATAATATCTCACAATAAGAAAAGAATGTATTAATGCCTTTAATTTTGCATTTATCTTTTTAATACAAATATTCCTCAATACAATCGTGAATGTGCCTGTGGAAAAAATAATGGTAATGCTGACATAGTGTTCTTAATCAAAGAATTTACAAACATACAGGCTTTACTCACACCCCCTCCTCTGATTACAGTCCCTGATCAACTGACATGACCAATGGCAAGAGACTGTAATTCCTGTGTTAATTTTGTTTCAAGAGAAACAAACTCTTACTATATCTGAAGTTTTCCCATCACATAAAACAACATAAATGCAATTAATGTTCAAACATAACTACAAACTGATGAAAATTATAAACTTCAAAAGTAAATAATACTCAAAATAAAACAATGCTAAAAAATTATAAATCACTATACAACACATACAGCCCTGCTGGTTATATTGTTTCCAGCTGGGAGGCTATACAGCAATATTGCTCTGGGCTTCCTTCAGGACTGATCACGCTTTGAGAATGAGCTGATTTTTGTGGTTGATATCCCTTTTAATATAAACAAGGTGGACACATATCAAATAACTAATAACCTAACCTACCTAACACCCTTGCCTGGAATGCTAAATCTCCACCATGTCAGACCAGCAAGATAGAGCATGGACAGGTCTGACCATTTCTGTTATATTTGGCTGATAAAATTTGATTGGAGTCCACTGATACTTAACTTCATGGGTTTTACGATTCTATTCTAGAAATTTACCTAAGAAACAATTCCAAGTTCTATTTTACCAGAATATATAAATGAAGTTTACTGGTCTTTGCTATTAAACAAAATGCAAAAATTACATGGACCACTTGGTGCTGGCACTATTGGGTACGTTAGAATCTTATCGTTCTTCCCACAGTATGGCAAAAGCAGTGCCTCCCCCTGTTACGGCACTTTTCACAACAGTCTTCTGCCAGTCCTGCTGGAGCTGTAATGGAATGAAAAGGTATCTGATTTCTATGTGACTCGGTGATACTATTGGTATAGAGAGCTAGACTCTGAACTGATTGCTGGACTGTCAGTTGAAAATGCAAGCGTTTTCTATCATCAGTATCCTAAGGAAAAGAGGGATCAATTGCAGTTTTTGAGTCTAGTGTAAATCTTTACTGGAAATAAACCTGGAGACATTGAAAACTTGGCTAAACTGTGGTCTCGTATCAGGAAGCATGTGCTCAAATACACTAAGATGGACCTAAAAGAGAGAGAAGAAAAAGATGCCGTGGTTGCTATAACAAAATCTCATTTCTTTCATAAGTTGTGCCACGTACACTATTTCCTTCCCAAATTTATAATAGGGAAGTTGTGCAACACGTACCATTTCCTTCCCAAATTTAATTAGGGAAGTTGTGCAACACATAATACATGATGACCACATTACGATGGGGAAAATCTAATGAGACAGTCTTAAAGAGAAGAGAAAAATACATTCGCTGATAAATGAAATAATCACATCAAGAGCTGTACAGTCACCAAGTTCATTGTAATCGGGTGGGGCCGGGGAAAAGACCTGTGAGTACGGGGATTTGGGCTCATATGGTGATGTTTGTGGGATTCCCCAGGAGTGGTTAAGGATGTTGGCTAGAGTAATAGTGACTACGTCTCAGAGGGGTGTGGTCACTTTCTAAAACAATCACTTGTACTTTCACTTGTTTCCTGAAAAGGTCATTTGCGATGGAAAACAATAACAGATTCAAACATATTAAGCTGTGAATAATCAGAAAAAAATATTCGCAGGGTTGGATAGCTGTGCAGCACAAAAAAAAATTAACAACCAAGAACGTACTTTCGTATAGTCCTCATGACAAACGGTAATAAAAAGACATAACCTCCGTTCATTTTCCGGGAATTCCAAGAACATTCTATCTTCATCCGAAACTCGTCTACACTCTCTCTCGTCTACACCTATCCTAATCCATAACTTTTACCCCCTACCTTAACGTGGGAAGGCCAATTCAACGTCAAACTCCCAACGAGAGAAGACCCAACAGCTGTAGAAACTAAGAAGATAATAATACAAATTCTGTAGAAACGAAGAAGATAATAATACAAGCTTTTCCTTTCCGCCAGTCTAAGGAAATCGGCCCTGGCTATTATCTTCAAACAAACCTCTTCTTTGGTCACAACCTCTGACTAATTGATCTAAATAATTACTGTCAGCGTCCTCTCCGGCTGCGTTCCCCCCTGACGCAAATCCGCCTCGCAGCCCGCCGTGAGAGAGCGACATTCTCGGAGAGATAACGTAAGATTCGGTTTGATCTACGCTCGGAAACCTGTTGTCCTATGAGCACTTTCTACCATGTTTTTGTTTTGTTTTTGTTTTGTTTTGTTTTTTCTTTTCTATGCGAAACCTTCCGTGATGATGATGTATGAAAAATCCACACCAACGAGAAACCCAACGGAAACCCAGCCGAGGAAAGGAGCCGGAGGGGAGCGAGAGTTAAAAAAGCCAAAGAGAGGCACGAGGAGAAACGGAGAGAGATCATAGACGAAGATGAGAAAACAGGAAGAATCATTCCCAGATAAAGATCGTATTTATTCTCAAAGCGGCTCGCGTTAATCAGCAGAGTTGCAACATGGTTAAAATCTTGCAAACGGTTGTTCTTCCCGTGGCGCATGTTGTCACGGGTGTATGGTCAACGTACCTTGAGATATTTGACGATTCATTTCAGATTTGCGTCGGCCAACTGTCTCCCGCCAGTCGCCGCTTCCAACACATATCGCGGTGTTGCCGGATGGGGAGCGGTTTCGCGTTTAATCTCTTTAACGAATATTAGCGATGGCTTATGGGTGTCCTTGATGATGTTTATATAAAATACTGATACACTGTGTGTGACTTTTTCAGCCAAAGGTGGTGGAGTTTTTAATAAACATTCTTTCATGGTACGCTGGGTAGCGCTGGGCAATACTAATTTGGAAATCGTCGTACGGTCACAAAGGCATCCACGTAAACAGTTCCTCGAGTGTTTCAAACTCTGAGCGACATCCGCCTATTTTGACACTTTTTGTCATAGTTTTTATTACGTAACACGACAGAGGTCATATTCAAAACACCTACGGATTCAAAGATTAATAAAGAGTCTTATAATCTCCCACAATTCGCTTTAAACGAGTGAAAAGAAGTTGATAAAAGAACAAATAATAATTACAAAACTCGAAACATCCGCAGCGGCTTTTCAAACTTTTAAAAAGAAAAGAAAGAGGTCAATAACGACGTAATTTGGTTGCTTTTGGGGTAACTATCCGTGACGACCATTTATCATGCCTATTTTCTTCCTCGGGTTTGTTGTAAACCTGAGACTCAATAACCTATTCTATACGTCATGCCTGCAGTTAAAATGGAGATACGGGCGCAATAATATACCTAATCCATTTGATAAACTTGTTTGTGTTGTGAGAGTCAAGAGGTCATCAGGGGATCTTTATTTTTTTCCCTCCGGCTTAACACGTGGGACTGCAGGGAGAGCTGCATTTAATCGCCAGGCCATTCTCAAGAGTAAATGCCTTGCAATATTTACAAACTACGACTTAAAGAACATCTCTGAATATGCATGTGTATATGATATGTTATAGATATATGTAATGTATACATATGTGAATAATATTTATACATACTATGTGTATACATAATAAATACATAAATACATATTATATATTATTATATATATATGTATAGTATATGTATATATATATAGTATATATATGGATATATATGTATATATAATGTATATATATATATATGTATATATACATAACATACACATACATATATATATTATATCTATATTATATAGTATAACTATTATATATATGATCATAAATATATAGTGTACGTGTGTGTGTGTGTGCATATTATATATTATTGCATAAAATATTACATTATTATATATGTTGATATATAGTACATATAGTATTATATATATATCATATATTGCTATACATATATCTATATCATGTGTATCATATACGTATCATACATATTATATACATATAGTGTGTATCTCAAATTAAAACCACTCCCCCCAAGAACCCGCCATACTTTTGAAAAACGCCCTAAAAGAGAACACAAACCGCGCACGTGACCCAGCATCCAACAGCGGCTCATGCGTACGTGACTGCGCATCCCTCGCACATGACCGCACCCACACGAGGCACTGCAACGGCTCGCATAACGAACACGTGGCCACTCACCCGGGATGCACACGCGGCGCTTCCTCGGCAGTTCGCTATAACGCCGGCTGTGATTCGGTCGCTATGTAGGAGAGGTATGAGTGAGAATGAATATTTATTTATTTCTGACGAAGGTAGATTCAGATGTATCTTTTGTGTGAGGAGGATGGATAGAAATACATCTATTGTATGAGATAGATATATTTAAATGCATCTTTTGTATGAGGTAGATCTATTCAAATGCATCTTTTGTATGAGGAAGATCTATTCAAATATATCTATTGTATGAGATAGATATATTTAAATGCATCTTTTGTATGAGATAGATATATTTAAATGCATCTTTTGTATGAGATAGATTCAAATGTATCTTTTAATATATGGAAGATCTATTCAAATACGTCTATTGTATGAGATGATAGCTTCAAATACATCTTTGTCTTTTGTATGAGATAGATAGATTCAAATACATCTTTTGTTTGAGGAAGATCTATTCAAATACATCTTTTATACGAGGAAGATATATTCAAATGCATCTCTTGTATTGTGGAGATATTCATTCTCATTCATACCTATTCTACATTTGTCAACATGAATACGATTCCCTCAGTTGCTACTTGCCATCGCGACACCTGCAATCCCGCCTGAATGAGCGAAACACGAGACGAATAGTAATGATGTTATTTATGGATATTCGATAATTCGAGAGCAAGGTTGAGACTGTGAAAGTGTGGGTTATTCTTATCGACATTTTTTTTTTTTTTTTTTTTTTTTTTTTGTAATGTAGTAGTAGGGACGAGAAACGGAAACCGGAGTGTAATCATGTGTCTGATTTTTGCCCGATTGGAGCAAGCAGAGGTCACATTTTTCTTTTCTGTGTGTTTTTTTTTTTAGGTTTTTGTATTGGTTGATCATGGCGCATATATATAGAACTTTATATATATATTTATGTATTATATAGTATATATAATAGGTATGTATATATTATGTGTGTGTGTGTGTGTGTGTGTGTGTGTGTGTGTGTGTGTGTGTGGTGTGTGTGTGTGTGTGTGTGTGTGTTGTGTGTGGTGTCTGTGTGTGTGCTCTATGTGTGTTTGTGCGTGTTGTGTGTACTATATATATGTGTATATAATATGAATATATATATATTGATAATAATATGTAGTGTAGATATGATATTCATATATCATATTATATATTCGTATGTTCATACATATATATTTACTTATACTATATTACAACAATTTTATACACGAGTATATATACATACACATACATGTATTTTCCCTCATATACATTATGCATACATATATACACACATACTTCTTATAATATATATATATATATATATAGAGTATATATATATATATATATATATATATATGTTATATATTATAATATATGTATAGTATATATATATATATATATAATATATATATATATATATATATATGATACATACATGTACACCACACACACACACACACACACACACACACAACACACACACACACACACACACACACGGCACACCACACACACATATATAGACTACATATATATATATATATATATATATATATATAGGATACATACATGTATACACAAACAATCAACACAACAACACACACGCACACAGCACACAACACACACACACACCACACCACGACACATATTATATATAATACATGTATATATATATATATATATAATATATATATATATATACATACTACAATATGTATGTATATATATATACACACTATATACTATATATATATATATATATATATATATATATATGATATATATATTATATATATGTATATAATATAGTATATTACGAATGTGTATGTACATTACGTGTATGTACGTGTGTGTGTGTAACATATATATATTTTTCAAAGACACGCACACCACCACCCCACCACATTTATACATATATACACACACACATATAGATAGATAGATAGATATGCGACGTGTAGGTACGCCTATGTGTATGCACACAAAAATATCTCGCAAAAAAGATTTATAAATCACATATTGTTCTCAGAAAACTTTCATAATGTTGCCAGAAAAACCGCAAGAATAGAGAACCTCCGACGTATTCTTTTACGCTCGGTTGCCAGAACAGAAATGCCAGTAATTAGCTGATATAACCAGTTTTGCAAGACAGCGTAAAATAGGGTACGTTCCAATACTATAATTCAATAAATTTCAAATAAATTAAATGCAGCTAATAATCAATTGGTAATAACCCGTTTTTACTCGGTGTATTTTTCAAATATATGAAGCGGGCCTATGAGTGAGTAAATTAGATAAAAGTATCTTTTTAGAAGACCGTGTTGTCGCCGGGTGAGCGCGAGTCAGTGGTGAGTCGGTTTGTTTACATGCGAGGAGAGGCCAAGGAACCCTCCACTTCTCACCTTCTTTTCTTGCGTCTCGTACTGTAATTCTCTTCTCTGACACCGCCATCTCCTTCTCCAAAGCCTCCTCGACCCAGGGGCTTAAAAATCAGCCTCGGGAACAGTATAGTTTCCTAGCCAGAGCTGATAAAAGGCATCGACTCTCTCCCCGCAAGCGAAGCACCACCAGGACCTCGGAGCAGAAAGAGCCTCCGTTTTACGATGTCGTTTGTGGGTTTTCGTATCATGTCTCGTCGACTCGGCTCTCAGTTGAGCGTGAGCCTCCTCGCTACACACACGCGTTGCCTTTCCTCTCACACCGCCAAGATGGACCAGCGTGTGATTACTTTGGAGAATATGAATCCTTTGGTGAAGAAGATGGAGTACGCGGTGAGAGGGCCTCTGGTCATCCGCGCGACGGCCATCGAGAAGGAACTGCAGGCGGTAAGTTATTTTTGGGCTTCTCTTTTGTCTGTCGTTTGTCACTTTGAAGTTTTGGGCGCCGTGGGCTGGTTTTGTAACAGGCGATGCAACAAGTTTCTTGTTGATATCCGCCTTTTATGAACTGGTTAGATATGAGTTTTTTAAAAAGAGGTGGATGATGTTTGCGATGTTACCAGAGTTTGAAATTCTAGTTTAGTTTTACGAGTTGACAGCAGTATGCATTCTCAGGTTGCAAGGAAGTGCTTGCCGTGGCGAACGAGAAATGTCACATTAGACATCGCATTACGTATCAGTATAATTACGAGAGACATTACTGATTACAGTTTCGAAACCGTGGGAAATGCAATTGAGAGTTGGATTGCACAGGAAGTACAGCAATATTGCAAAGACGCCATCCAGCTCATAATACACAATTTTCCCTGCACTTGTAGTTTGCATAAGTACTGAAAAGTTTTAATACAAATTAGTGGTATTTGTTGCATAGTCATGTTGCTTTCCACACATCCGGAAGATTGCCTACAGTTTGAAGAGGATTCTTCAGATTATATCAGACAAGACTATGATAAGATAGCGGTAATCCAGACTAGGGTAAATTAGGTTGATGTGGGTTACAGAGGACACTCACCCCCGCATACACTTTTTTTTCCTACATCAGAACCTCCGATCATTATTTTTTCTTTTTTTCAAACTTCATCCTTCTGGGTTATTATATAACATAGCTTGTATGCGTAGGGGGGTTCATGGCCTGAATTAAAACCGTCTGCTGTGTTTTGTAATCAAGACACTTTTCATGAAGAGAGGTTTGATAAGCGTCCTAGATGTGCATAGTAGGTTATTTAATGTTTCTCTTATTTCGCTCTTCATTTCTCGTTCTTCTCCATCTTTATATCTCGCTCTTCTCCTTCTTCTTCTTGTCTGCTCTTTCGTCTTCTTCCAGCTTGGTGTGCGATCCCTCTTTCTCAAGCTGCTCAGTAGCGCAAAATCGCTTTACAAGAGACAATTGACTGTTTTCCAAGTGCACCGAGTCTAAGTGACGTTTCCGAGAAGAGGCAGGCGGAGAGAGTGCGACCTTCCGAGAACGGAACTTCACCTCGCTATAAAGACCGAGTGATAGAACGGCCGTAAAGCGGATGGGAAATGCACGTGACATTGGTCGAGGGAGGCTGGTTGGTCGGGTGAAAGTCGGGTTGGCTTTTGTGGGGGGGGGGGGGGGGGGGCGTAATGGGAGGTTAGATGAGTTAGGTGTGTTTTTTTTTTTTTTTTTTCTCTCTCGTGTGCCTTTCGTTTCGTCATGATGAGTAATTTTTTTTCTCTGTCATCTCCCTTCGGTGAATGTATTTACCTCATCTCTATGGAAAGAGAAATTAACTAAAATAACTTCCATATAGGCTAAACACACACACACACACACACACACACACACACACACACACACACACACACACACACACACACACACACACACACACACACACACACACACACACCGTAGCTTTCTTCCGGTTGTTTAGAAATCAAACAAAAGAACACCGGCGGTTCCTCTGGAACACTTACTGGTTCACTGACTCAACCAAATTACTTATTTAAATTCTTGCGTCGTCTTGAAAGGATCTGTTGCATCACCCTCCACCCCTCCCCCCTCCCTCCCTCTCCCTCCCCTCTCCTCCCCAACACACACTCGCACGCGCTCCATATTAGTGAAGATTAACCCCCCTTGCCATGGTAATTGTCTGTCCGTAGGGAGGAAGACTCACCCCAAATTGGGAGTCACTGGCCCAGGGTATCGGATATCGTAGTTGTAAACACGTTGTTTGGTGTTTTTTTTTCCTTTTCGTGTGCACGGGGTGGGGTGGGGTGGGGGGGGGGTTGTTGCGTAAGTGGAATGGGTCGTCTCTCTCGCAAGTGGCTCTGGGAGGGTTTTTTTATTTTTGTTGTGATTATAATGTCACTTGGATTGATTTTGCGAAGAATGACTGTAAGGCGTTGTTGGTTATGTACGAGTATATGCGTATATTTGTCTTCTTTGTCGTCTTCTTCGACTTCTTCCTCCTCCTCCTCCTCCTCTCCTCCTCTTCTTTTGTTCTTTTTCTTTTTCCTCTTCTTAATCTTTCTCCTCCTCTTAATCTCCTCTCCTCCTCCTCTCTTAATCTTCCTCCTCCTCCTCTTAATCTTCCTTTTCCTCCTCTTAATCTTCCCTCCTTTTCCTCCTCGCCTCCTCCTCCTTCTCTTTCCCTCTTAATCTCCTTCTCCTCCTCCACTCCTCTTAATCTTTCCTCCTCCTCTCCTCCTCCTCGCTCTTCCTCTCTCCTCCTCCCCTCCTTCCTCCTTCCTCCTCCCTCCTGCCTTGAACTTCCTCTCCTCTCCTCCTCCTCCTCCTCCTCCTCCTCCTCCTCCCCTCCCCCTCCCCCCCCCCGGTCCCTGCTGTCGAATGGGTCCTTTCGTAAGCTGACCTTTTTGGCGAAGAGGATTTCGGCGAGTATTTTGACCCGAAGTCCTTTCCCCAAACTCCGTAAATGTGGCTTCCTGTCCTCGTTTTTC